TACCTGTAATAAATATAAGAATAATTAAGATCTCACCAGTGAGGCTGCATTTTGGCTAAAGTACATGCTGGCATCTTCAAGCCCAAAATCATCATGAAACTCTGAAAGCTGCTTAAAAGTGCACAACAGTTTTTATAAGCCTTCTAGAAAGCTTCAGAATCACTAAATGGAAAATGATAACTTCAGAATCATTCTGCACACTTTAGTGTGAGGTCTCACTTTATACAATCCATCTAGACTTCAGCAGCTGCAACCAAATTACACAGTTCAAATCTGGCCTTCATTGTAGAAAAGCCCTGTGAGACAAATGGTAGGGTCTTGCCAATGCAATTGTCTCAGCCAAAGCCTCTGTCAAGCACAGGAAATCAGGAACCAAGGCAGGTTCAAATAAAAACAGGTTTATTGGCAACACACAGGATTCTGAACTAATAGTTAAAACAAATTGGCACTAGATAAGAATCAAAAGAATTCAAGGTTATCTGGACTTAGATCTCATGTGGGTAGAAAGGACTTGAGACTGATAATGTGCTTGACCCCTCCCTCAGGCTCCACCTGGTCATCTCCTACAGCCCTGTCTCCATGAGATTATGATGTCCAGACTGAGATTTTGTTCAAGTCCAACCCACAAGACAATTATAACTGAGATTACAATAATGTGAGCATATAGAGCCGCTATAGTTATTTTTATTATATTAATGAGTTGAGTTATAAAAAAAAGAATGAGTGTTGGGAATTATAAAATAGCATAGCAGGGGATTTTTCAGCCCTGGGATTCCGAAAAGACAGCAGAGCGTATGGTAAAAGCATTACTGGGAAGCTGCAGTGTTCCTAGTGTCAAATAAATGTCAGTTAAAGGATTTAGTATACAGATGCTGCTCACAGAAAACAAGTAGACAAATCACAGGAAGGACAGATGCAATCAAGCATTTGAAGGCTGCAGCACTCAAAATTCCAGGTGTTTCTCCCTGAATCTTATAGACGCAGCATAAATTTAACCTATGTTAAAAAAAAAACTAGATTTTCCCCATTGTAATTAATGTAAGAACACAACTTCTGTTACAGTGAACAACTCAAACTTTCTCTATGATACTTCAACCACTATACCATATTAGCTTGGGAAGTGATAAGGCATAAAGCTGAAAATTATATCTAAAGTTTAGCAGAGAAAATGTTGAATCCAGGCTTTTGTTTATATAATAAAGTAGCCAAGACCTTATTAGCCCAATTGCAGGAATGGGTGCAAGAATTGGGTATGTCTAGTTTAATGAAAAGAAGGATTAGATGTGACATGATAGCAGTCTTCCAATATCTAAGGGGCAGTCACAAAGAGCAAAGGGTGAACCTACTCTCCAAAGCATCTGAAGGCAGGACAAGAAATAATGGGTGGAAACTAATCAAGGAGAGAAGTGAACCAACCTAGAACTAAAGATAAATTTCCTGACAGTGAGAACAATGAACCAGTGGAATGGCTTGCCTTCAGAAGTTGTGGGTGCTCCATCACTGGAAGTTTTTAAGAAGAAATTAGACAACCATTTGTCTGCGATGGTTTCCTGTTTGAATAGGGGGTTGGACTAGAAGATCCCTTCCAACTATATTATGTTCATCAGTTAGTTATGGATGATAGGTAGGAACAGTTTGAATGGGGATTAAGGGGCTAAGCATTCTGAACTCTTTCTTAAGAATAGAACCACTTGGCAGATTAAAAACAAGAAATCCAAATCTTTAGAAGATATATGTAACTGCATCTTGAATAAATGGCAGAAATAGCTTTCAATGCTTCAATAGGCCAAAGTATATGGTAAAGGTCCGACTGTTCTATTAACTTGCTTGCCAATCTGAGTTAGCTGAAAGTTCCTTTCTGGCATTAGGTAGGGTTGTAAGACCACATGCATTAACAAAATCTAGCCTTCCTCATAAATATTGTGGCATGTAAGAAATCTGAAGTGATTGCTTTCATTATTCCTAGCTACAGCATAAATGTGCTTCTTTGCTACCTTAATGAATTAGTCAAACACAAAACATTAGGCTCAGTTCCCTATCACTGGATCCTGAGGAGAGCAATCAATGTATTCTTCTCAAGGCAAAAAGCTCTAAATTATGGTTCAAAATAATGAAGGTAGTGCAGAAAAAAAAGCCCTCAGCTCTTTCTGACTAAAGAACTGTGTTCAACACAGGTATTGAGTGCTTTCTTTTCAGAAAATGTGCCTAGTGTTCAAGTGTACATAAAACTGAGATAAGAATCTCACACGAAAGTACACAATGGTAACAGACTTTTCCAATAATTCTTTAAAGCAGTGTTTTTTGACCTCAGCAAAAAGATGTGCAGATTTCCACTCCCAGAATTCCTCAGTCAGCCTTGCTGGCTAGGGAATTCTGGGAATTGAAATCCACACATTTTGAAGTTGCTGAGGTTGTGAAACACTACTTTAAGCCAACACCTAAGAACATTTACTAACAATTATATCTAATAAATATTTTTTTAAACCCTGAAACATAGGTCAAAATATTTTATTTGCCAGAAATGCTATTTCTCCTCATTTTTCAGACATTTTATAAGGAGCAAGGAACCAAAAGAAAGTGAAGGAAATAACATGTTTGGGGTCATTGAACTATAATGAACAGACATGGAATCTGTGGAAAATTAATCATATGAAATCATTCCTTAAGTTTGATCTAGATTATAAATTGAGCAAAAAATGCTGGAGAGATGGTTCGGAATTACAATTAAGTTCTCAGAATGCAAAGATCTACTTTATATAACACCACAAGGCAATTTCATGCAAGTTTGTGATAGCCATGGTCCCAATTTTAAGCCAGAAAAGTCAGTCAATAAACTGTGGTTTTACTGAATGTTAGCTTTCCCTGTCACATGTAACCCATTTAGCTGATCCCACATATTAACAGGAAGAAGCCCTTAAATCTATCTAGTATCACTTGTTAATTTGAGAGTGCTGTAAATGAAATTATCATAATGTTGCAATGCAGCTTACGTTATGAAATGACATGAAAAGGGAAACAAAGACATTTTTGTATTAAAACTCTTGAGGGGCAATACAGGCAACAACAAGGATCATCATACAATGTCAAAAAGCCTTCCTCTCATTGTTAATGGATACCCAATACATAGACCAAATCCCTCCACATGACTTCATTAAAAACTACTAAATATTTCAGTAAAATATTCAATTCAGAGGAAAGCAAGTCTTGCTAATAGGTGAAGAATTACTACTGTTGGCTTCCTAAACAGCTGCTTAATCTCTTAAATTTTAAATTATCATTTATACTGCCTTTGCAATTAGAGTTAGAGACACCCAATTGAAATTTATACCTATTGTGCGTAAGGCGGGACCAGGGCAAAACCAGAAAAGTGGTTTCAGCTTCTCAACTTTCACAAACAACCAAGACTAAACTAAAATTGTGGAAAGTATGGTTAAACTTCCCACAATATTTATTAAATTTATAGGCAGCCCATCTCGCAGTCAGGTAACTCTGTAAAGGTGGTCCTCAACTTATGACCTCAATCAAGCCCAAAATTTCTGTTAAATGAATTTTGATCCATTTTACTACTTTTCTTGCTACCATTAAGTGAATCAGTGCAGTTGTTAAGTTAGTCACATGGTTGTTAAGTCAATCTGGCTTCCCAGTTGACTTTACTTGTCTGAAGGCTACAAAAGGGGATCACATGATCCCGAGACACAACAACCATCATAAATAAAGAGTCAGTTGTCAAGTGTTTTTGTGAATTTTAATCCCATAACCATGGGGACACCACGGCAGTGGTTCAGGGTGAAAAACAGTGATAAGTCACTTCTTTCAGTGCCGTTGTAAACTTCAAACAGTCACTAAACAAACTGTTGTAAGTCAAGGACCACACCTGCATACCTACGAATAGATCAAAAGAACAGTTGAAAGGAGGTAAAACTTCTGAATCAGTTAAAACTCAGAGATGGTGGTGCAGGATTAAGTTACAAACTCTGTGGCAAAAGCTGCCACAAAAATGCAGATTTCAGACATTAAGGAGGAGAAGGGGGGAGGAAAGCACAGGGAAAATTCATTTAAAAGCCAAAATTAAAAGGCAGCCCCGTCAAGCAGGGAAGGAAAACCCACAGAAAGCTCAAGGAACAGCTTGGCATCAGAAAGGGACTTAATCAGCCTAATGGTGCTGAATTGTTTAAAGGGCTTTTTATTATTCTTTTATTCGTTAAACGTGAAACTGTCAACTGAACATTTAAAAACTTATCACAAATATCATTACTTTATGATAATTATACTTTTATTAATTAAACATGAAAATCAATCAACTGAACATTTTATTACACAAACTTTTATTAATTAAACATGAAACTCAGTCAACTGAACATTGAAAAATGTGTCACAAATATAATTGACTGGCACTAATGGATTGATTCTAGCATCTTAGGTATCAACCAAGATGATGATGATGATGATGATTTACTTCATTAACCATGAAACTCAACTGAACATTCAAAAATGCATCACAAATACCATTGACTGGTGCCAATGGTTGATACGGCATCCTAGGTATCAACCAAGTACATCATCATTATTATTATTATTATTATTATTATTATTATTTTGAAACAATGCCTTAACGAAGGGGCCTCATTCCTTGCGGCCAAATTAACAGGAACGCTACGCTTTTTCCAAGGCAAATTCCTTCAAGAGTTTGAGGGAGGTGGGGGGGGAATGAAAGAGAAGGCGGATAGGAAGGGAGGAAAAGAAATCCAGAGGGCTTGACAAGGGCTGCCCTAAGAAAGTTTGCCACCCTCCGTCGTTCACCACGACGAGGGGCGCGGGAGGAGCCCTGAGGGAAAGAGGGGCTCCACCGCCCCGAAAGGGCCCGCCGAGGAGGCGCCCCTTCCTCCACTCCCCCCACCCCCCGACCCTAAGCGGGGGAAAGAAAAGCCGTGAAGGAGGCTCGGCCGGAGGGGAAAAGGGCAGCCCCGAGAAGAGGGAGGCGGCGGCGGCGGCGGACTCACAGTCGAGGTGCTTCTTCTTGGGGCCCATCACCTCGTGCGTGGTGGCCTTACAGACGGTCTTCGAGACGGCCGAGCCCGTCACGCTGTGCTGCGCCGCCGTGATGCGATCGGTCAGGCTCTGCCCCGACATGGTTGCCCAGCTCCCTTGCGCGGCCGCGGCTGATCCTGGCGGGGAAGCGGGGATGGGAAAGAGGAAAGGAGGAGGAGGGAGGAGGAAAAAAGGAGGGCGGGCAGCCCCGGCCGACCGGCCCTCACGCCGCCACCCAGCCCTTAGACGCCCGGCTGCGAGCTCCGCCTTCCGGAAGGGCCGGGCTTGTCACCCGGGAGAAGGCCGCCTCCGCTCCCGCCCGAGGGGGCGTCGCCTTTTCCCAATCCCCTCAGACGCCGACGCCGCCACACGCGCGGGAAAATGGCCGCCGAAGAAGCCGCCTCCGAGGTCTTTCCGGGACGCCCGGATCACGTGACAGACACCATTCTCTTTAAACGGGGCCTGCCTTTCTCTTTTTTTTTTTTTAAATCTATGCCACGTGACGCGCTCCACCTTGAGGGCAGAGAGGGGGGTGGAGGTGGCGGGGCCACACACCCCTGACGCCCCTTGCACGTGACGTGCCGTCATGCTTTTTTTTTTTTTACCCCCGCGCCACGCCCCTTTTCCTCGCCACCGCCCAGCCGGTGCTGCGTCACAAGGAAGAATGCGGTGACGCAAACGGTCGAGGGGCGCTGCGTTTTTTTTTTTTTCCTTTTCCTCCGCCCGGTCTTTCTCCCCCCCCTCCCCCGCATCTTCTATCATGGGCGATGACGTCACTGGCATTCCTGAGGGGGTGGGAGCGGGAGGGGAAATCTCTCGTGGACCGTTCCCTTCCGTGGGTGCTTTGGTGTCTTTCCCCCCCCCCCCTGCAGGTAGTCCTCGACTTTAACGACCACAACTAAGCCCAACATTTATGTTGTTAAGCGAGGCAGCAAAGTGGATTTTGCCTCATTTTACAACTCTTCTTGCCACAGTCGTTAAGTGAATCATTGTGGTTGCTGAGTTGGTAACACCGTTGTTAAGTGAATCTGGCTTCCCCATTGACTGTGGCTTGTCAGAAGGTCACAAAAGGGGAATCACATAATCCTGGGGATGCTGCAACCATCATAAATATGAGTCAGTTGCCAAGCGTCTGCGTTTGGTCATAATTGTGAAAAAGGGTCATAAGTCACTTTTTTAATGCTTTACGTAACTTTGAACGGTCACTAAATGAACCGTTCATAAGTGGAGGACTACAGGTATTTTAAAAATGGTCGAAATGTGGAATGTGCGAACAGGAGCGCATCGTTCACATTGTATGAAGCAAATACATGGTTTTTCCACCCGTTGCTGCAGTCCTAAAGGGAGTTTCCTGAGATAAAAGATATACTTTTGATGTTCAGGCTTCAAGGTTCCTTCAGAGAATTCCCATCCATTTTTAATCATGCCCTGCGGCGTCTGGCACAAAGTTGGTTGATCTCTAGAAGAATCTGATCTGTTTTGTATTTGAACGAGAGACCACGGGGAAATGCCAGGGAGGCAGGAAAAGATTGTAAGAAAATTTTTCAGAATAGACATAGGAAATCACTTCTTTAACATTACTAGGAAAACTTCAGGAAGAGAACGAGCTGGTTCTATCTATCGTCCATTTCATTAGAATAGAAAAGAATGGAATAGGAATAGGAATAGGAATAGGAATAGAATAGAATAGAATAGAATAGAATAGAATAGAATAGAATAGAATAGAATAGAATTATTTATTGGCCAAGTGTGATTGGACACACAAGGAATTTGTCTTTGGTGCATAAGCTCTCAATGTACATAAAGAAAAAAATAAAATACATTCATCAAATTAATTTGTACTTGTACATTAAATTAAATTAAAAGTAAAAAAAAAAAGAAAGTTTGTTCAGTAAAAAATAAGTAGGAAAAAAGGGGGGAAAGAATAATGAATACCGTATATACTCGAGTATAAGTCGACCCGAATATAAGCCGAGGCACCTAATTTTACACAAAAAAACTGGGAAAACTTATTGACTCGAGTATAAGCCGAGGGTGGGAAATGCAGCAGCTACTGGTAAATTTCAAAAATAAAAATAATTAATTTGGGAAACGATCTCACTATCATGAAAGGTTTAATTGATTCACTAACCCAAAAGAAGAAGATGATGATGACAGCGGGAGGCAGGAGTCACTCTCTTCCCCTCCCTCGGAGGCCCCCTGAGTCAGGAGTCGCTACCGCCGGCGCGGCCCCAGTCCCGCCGCCTCGGGAAGGGAAAGGCAAAGCGCTTTTTGCCTTTCCCGGCTGGGGCTGTTGGGAGTCGCTGCCGCCGGAGTGGCCCCAGTCCCGCCGCCTCGGGAAGGGAAAGGCAGGCGGCAGCGACTCCCAACAGCCCCAGCCGGGAAGGGAAAGGCAGGCGGCGGCGACTCCCAACAGCCCCAGCCGGGAAGGGAAAGGCAGGCGCCGGCGACTCCCAACAGCCCCAGCCGGGAAGGGAAAGGCAGGCGGCGG